GGGGAAGACATAATGCAAGTTGACGCGCTGCCGTTCACCCACCGCGAGCTCCGCCAAAGCTCGCCGCCATCCTCTTCGATCCATCGCATTCACATACACTCGTGGCGCATTGGCAGTGTCCGCAGATAGGGAGGAAGTATGTGTATTGGACGTGTCAGTCAGTCAGTTCGTGCATGTTGATTGAGAGCTGCGGACGAACAACAAGCAGAAAGCCTCGCCAATTGAGCCTCGCAGCTAAGCTCGCAGCTAAGGTCCTCCTCGTGTGCTTTTTCTCTTTCGTACCGGTTGTCATCCGTCTGCTCTCATGGATGGCCGCTTGATCGACTGTCCGCGAGAATATAGATCATGTGCTTTCTGCTCGCATCGTAATGATCTGTTAGTTTCGGTACGTGATGTAGGTGGTCATATTGTGTCTCGTCCTCCCGTAGAGGATGAGACACACGTACTTGTCTCGTGTCCTCTGTATTCTACATTGCGTCAATCACTTTTACAACCATTCGTAAGTACGGTATTACTGCCCCTGATGCATGCAACTACAAGCGATGGGGCAAGGCTCATCCTATAGTTTTCACTACCTCTCTGTTGCAGTCAGATAAGCTGCCGCTGCTCTCAGCAGTTGCAGACTTTCTCCTAGCTGCACAGAAGGAGCGTGCTCGTTGGCTTGCACTCAATCCATCTCTCCCACCCAGTCAGTTTGATGGTGAGTATGATTTGATATATGAGTTGCATGAGATGGAGCAGTGGGTGCTTGACGCCAACTTGTCAGACTAGCAGCTACATGGGTTCCATGGGAAGGGCAGATAGGCCTTGTGCATGCATTCTGCGTGTGCTTGTTGCATGTTTGGTGTGTGCTTGTTGCCTGGGTTTGTGCCGGAAGGTAGCGCCGGGCTTAGGGACAGGTGTCTCGTCAAACCCCTAACCGACCGACCGACCTCGAGACCGCTGCCGCCCCTGGCAGATGAAAGACGTGCTGCCTCCCAGAAGAACAGAACAATGAGCATCGTCTTCACGAGAGGCATCGGCGGCAGGCTGGCGCATCGGATCTTCATCCCATCTTACTCATACTCGTCATGGATTTCGCCTCAACTCATCAGCAAGGGCGCAGCGGTGGCCGCAGGGGCAGCAGCAGGAGGCGCCGTATACCTGGCGGCCAAGCAGTGCAGACAAACTGCAAGTGTGCAGCAAGATCCATTCCATTGATCCATCCGGTCGTATATGTGTGCCGTTGTTCGTGCGTGAGATGTGTGTTAGGATGTGACAATACGGCGGCGGCTGTTTCTGAAGCGCCCTCACCGGTGCCCGTCTCGTCCCTGCCCCCTGTCAACGCCCCGGCAGCTGCGCCTGGGCAGGAGCCGTTCGGGACTGCGACGGACAGCACGGCGCTCTCTGTGCCGCAAACAATGGTCGGGCAGCCACACGCAAGCAAAGGAGAGAGAAAGGCATGCCGATGTGTCGACCCACGATGGACGGTGTCATGCACTGCAGGTCATCAAGTTTTGTCTGGGTTCGTGTTTTGGGATCTTCTTTGGCCACACCATGCGCCGAGTGGGCCGCATCGTGGCCGCCTTCCTTGGCATCAACGTCTTAATGACCGAGGTGTTTGTGCTGCTGAGGTGGCTGACCATCGACTGGCGCAGAGTGGGCAGGGACTTGTTCAAGAGGCCCAACTGCAGCACTCTCTCAGTCACGGCAGAAGGGTAGGCAACAGCACACGACTATAGAGCAGTGCCATGTGTGTGTGTATGTGTTTGTTGCGTCAGATTGGCCCTGACGGTGGGCATTGTGGGCGGCACGTTCCTCGGCTTCCACTACACAAGACCACAGCCATACTGACTGAACAGTGGGTGGATGGGATAGCACAAAGGGCATGTGTTGTCGAGTGTCGCAAGTGCCGTGCAGCGATGCACAAATGATACATCCCTGTAGAACAGCCAGTCATAGATGTCATCTTTTCTTTTATCGAGTCATTGTGAGGTGAAAGCACCTCTCGTGTACTGTGTGTGTGTGTGGGTGTGTGTGCGGATGGCATGGATTCACTCCCCCACTCCACTCCCCGCTGCTTGTTCATGCTCTGTGTTGTTGTGTTGGAGGCGGACGTCATCATTCGATCTGAATGGTCGCATTCATTCATCCATCCAAATGTCAGTCAAATCTTGTCTGCTTGGCAGAGGAGCCGATACCACACAAACACGCGCACGAGCCCCATAGACCACACCCAGCTGAGCTATACACACCGCCCCTCACACGCATTCCCTCTCGCTGCAGGAGCGTTGGAAAATCCGTCAACGCCGCGCAGGTCAGGTGACAGAAACAGATCCACATGCAATGCAGTCAGCCTCACCAGCTGGGCCATCCCCCTGCCCCTTCCTTCGCCCTTGCTGCATTTGCTGCATTGGCAGCCAGGAGGCCGGTCTTGGTCTCAACAATACCGACGCCAACACTACCACTACCACCAGGCGTCCCCTCCTCATGCGCAGCCACGTTCGCCGCAGGAGCGTCCTTGTCGGTGTAATTTCTGCTGTCAGCTTCTCGCCTCCGCCGCTCCGCCTCTTCCCACACAGCCAGGTCCTTCTCGTAGTCCTCCAGCTCGGTGTAGTAGATGTCTGACCATGACCACGGTTGGTCAAAGCAAAGGAAGATTCAGAGGGATGCCTGTGAGCGTGTGTGTCATTTCTTCATCATTTTCCGTACCGAATATGCAAGGCGAGCACCCCGAGCCGCAGCAGTCATCGGGATCAGGCTTCTCGGGCGGCTCTGGCTTCCTCCGCGGCACCCTCCGGCCGTCGATGAACAATGGTGTGGAATCAGCTGCTGCTGACGATGGTGATGGTGAAGGGCCTGCTGGTGGTGCGCTGGCCGAGCTGTGCCCTTCCCCCGAAGCGTCCATAGACACCATGGTTCGATAAATCAAGCGATAAATCGGCAGCTGCGGTGTGTGAAGGCCACAAATGGCCCGCAATTGAAGAGCTCGAATGGTGAGGCGTCTGCTGAGCAATGCTGCTTGTGCCTGTTCTTCAAGCTGGCGAAAAGAAGGAGGCAGTCTGCAATCTCAGCTTGCAGTGTAGCTCGCAATTTTCCTGACCAAGGAGGCGGAGGGCTGAGAGGAAGCTGTTCAGCAGCACCGGAGATCCCAGAAGAAGCATTGATCTCGCTTGACAGCGGGTGGAAGATGTTGACTGACTCACAACAGTCATCTCTCACCGGGCTCCCTCCCTGTCGGGTGTGCGTTCTATTGGTGGGTAACTAAGTGAGGATGGACGTGATGAATGGGCAGCGTTTGAAGGAGCTGGTGCTGCGGGACTTTGGGCTTCCTGCCACTGAAGATGTCTACGACGGTCAGTCAGATCAGAGGGGGAGGGGAGGGAAGGCGGTGAGCCGTCAACACACACCACGGTGGTCCCTGTCCGTTGTGTGTCGTGTGGTGTTGTGCAGACTTTGAGTGCGGCGCATCGGTCAACGGCAATGCCACCATCCGAGGCACCCTCTTCTGCACATCCACACACCTACTCTTCTACGGCAGACAGGAAGGTCCCTAAAGTGCCCATCACAACCATCCACTCACACCCATCCGCCGAGCACACGCACCTCTCTCTCTCTGTGTGTGTGTGTGTGTGTGTCTGTGTGTGTGTCTGCCTTGCAAACAGGCATCGAGTTGCGCGAGAAGATCCTGTTTGAGGAGATCCGCATCATCCGCCGCAAGAAGGGCCGCTTCCTGCGGCACAACAAGTTCCTCTCGGTGGTGGTGGTGGCCGAGCCCTCGGGCGGGCGGCAGCTGGCCCCCAGCAAGACCGCCTCGGTGTCGTTCAGGACGCCCCGCGAGTTGACCTTTAAGTCGTTCAAGCAGGGCAGGCTGCAGGATGCCTATGAGCTGCTCACTGTGCTCTGGAAAAGGTGAGGGAGGGAGACGAGGGGAGGTGGCAGGGAGATCGATGGATGGATGGATGGTCGTCATTCTGCTCTCTTTGTTTCACTCTCTCTTTCTGTTCGTGTGTGTGTGTGCAGTCAGTGTCCGCACGCTGTGATTGATGACGAGAACCCGACAGACGAGCAGGACGACGATAAACCACTCAATGTACAGGTGGGTGCCGTGAGTGAGTGCTCTTGCGCCGATCCACCCCTCCATCCCTCCATCCCTCCATCTCTCTGTCTGTCTGTCTGTCTGTTGTGTGTGCAGGTCCCCCCCAGCCCCACCCACGCCGACACGGACCCCACCACCTCCGCAGAGCCCCAGCTCTCGCCCGCAGACCACCTCATGCCCAAGCAGCCACACACACTCTCACTCTCACGCAATGACCACACACACACACAAAACAAAGACAAGACCGACACAGCAGCCGCAGGAGACCACAACCAGCAGCAGCAGCAGCACCAGCAGCACCTGGTGGACGAGCCGAAGCGAGTGGTGAGTGATGGCGACGTCATGGCCAGCCGGCATGAGAGACAGAGGGATGGGGAGAGGGAGGTTGAGATGGTTGAGGTGATGCGGGGGTGGGTGCCGGTGAGTGTGGAGGGGTTTGAGCGGAGCTTTCTCGGCGGGGGGGCGTCCTTCGACTTCGCCACCTACTATAAGAGACACAGCAATGCTGGGTCCATCAAACTCACGTGAGTCAGAGAGGAAAGGTGCTGGGTGGGTGGGTGCACTCTCGTGTGTCTGTGTCTGTCAGGGACTGGGATGACAGAGGATTGCGGACTATGTACTTCAAGCAGCAGGTGAGTATTGGCCGTGCACATGCATTTGTCTCGTCTATGCGGTGCCTGGGAAAGTGGGTGTGTGGGTGTGTGTGGGGTGTCTGTTGTTGGTTGCAGGTGGACACCCCGCTGGGTCCCACCATCACGCGAGTGGAGCAGACGCACGAGCTCGCCGCTCACACCAACACAGAATCGCACCAAAAGTGAGTCGAGTCACCGACTGACTGACAAGAGGGGCAACAGAGACACAACGATGGATGGATGTATCCCTCAGGGAGTGGCTGTGTTTGGAGATCGTGACTCGTGCCAAGGACGTGCCCTACGGCGACGCATTCGAGGTCGTCCAGCGGTGGAAGATCCACCAGCCACACGTCAGCACCCACGCCGTCACCCTCCGCAGACCATCCACCGCCCCAGCAGCCACATCCATGGTCCTCCAGCTCCCCACCGGCAGCGACCCCAACGAGTCATCCGAGACCTCCTCCCCTGGCCCCCCACCCTCACAGTCACAGCCACAAGAGGACGGCCACGATCGTGCGACAGATCTCGCGGCGGCCGAGCCGCTGCCGCCCTCGTCAAGCGAGACGGGAGATGAGCCGACGACGACGAGCAACACCGAAATGGACGGTGGCGGGGATTTCTGTGGCGTCGGCGGTGTCAAGCGGGGTGTGTCATCGCCCAGCCGTGTCAGCCATGTGCCGCTCAACCGGTCGGTGTCGCCTTTCTACGTGGTGGGAGAGGTGTCTGCTGGTGACATTGGCAAGGGCAAGGACGGCCGAAGCGCGTCATACGCCGACGAGAGGGAGACGGAGAGAGACACGGCGGCGGCAGAAGCAGGAGCAGAGGACGATGGCCACTCGGAGCCTCCCCAACAACCAGACCCAGATGAGCACCCCCACGCCGCACTGCCGACCATCCACCCATCCGCCAGCGACCCCAACATGCTCAAGGGCTGGGGCGGCGAAGAGAATGGCGACGGGACGGGGAAGCCAATCGACCACCGGAGGATGCCCCCGCCGCCCCCCCTGATGCCCTTCCCCTCCACCTCCTCTCTGGGCGGCGGGTCCTCGCACCCCTCGCACAGCAGCCCGCCACCCAATGGTGGTGAGAATGGCGGCAGAGAGAGTGGCAACGGCGGTGGTGGTGGTGGTGGTGACAATGGCGGCGCCACTACTGAGGGGTGTGTGTTGGTTGTGGAGGTGGGGGTGGTGTTTCTCAAGAAGACCATTTTCGCATCCATGATCGTCAAGAAGTGAGAAGGAGAGGCAGGGCAGGGCAGGGGGGAGGGGAAGACGCCTCATTGCGTGTGCTGTGCTGTGCACCATTCTTTGCTGTGTGTGTGGTGTGTAGGAGCCGGGAGGACACCCGCCGCGGTGCGGAGTGTTGGCTGCAGGCGGCCATCAAACACATCAAGAAGGAACAAAAGTCAGCCACCATACACACACGCATCACACGCATACAGACAGACAGACAGACAGACAGTCCTGGGCTGCACACACAGGGAGGGGAGGCCTCTCGCCCACTTAACTTACTTAGCCACCGAGCCCCTGTGTGTATGGTATGTGATGTGTCTTGTCTTGTCTTAATTGCATCTGTCCGTCAGGCGTGTGTCTGGCGGTGCCCCCTGTCTGCATGGCCTCGAGGCGGTGGACGAGCGCGCCCACCTGCTGCCATCAACCGCCAAGCCCGCCGCCCCCACCGGCAGACTGCCAGGGTACCTGTCCTTGGTGTGGCTGCTAGTCCGCTTCCTGGGGTGGTTCCTGTGCTGCCTCTGCCGCCGGCGTCAGCGGCCCCGAGACCACCCCGATACACTCACTGGCACCTCACAGTACGGATGGAACGAGGCAGAGGTACGCCGCGCCAGAGCCCAACGACACACACGACAGACAGACGAAACTCTCACTCGCCGACTTTGCTGCCTGCAGCTGGAGGATTTCATCAGTGCCTTTGGCCACCGCAAGGACCATCACCATCCACCGAGGCCTCACCCCCCGGACCTCAGTGCCACTATGACGGCCGCCGCAGCAGACAAGAGGCAGACGGAAGGTGCGGTGGCGACGGCGATCCCGTGGACCACAGCCGACACGCCCACACACAGGGGGGCGGGTGACAGTGAGGCAGGGGCGGGCGGCGTGCAGACGGCCATGCAGGTGGTGATGGTCGTCATCTTGCTCATGGTCGTCATTCAGGTGAGCGGCACGCTGCAATGCAAAGCGGTCTTGGTGTGATGTGTTGTCATGTGTTGTGTGGCCTGTGTACCATTCGCTCGGTCATTAGTTGAGGTCCTTGGCGGCCTCTGTGGGGATGCTGGAGAGCCAGATGGGTGAGCTCCAGAAGATTCTGCAGACACTGGCCGAGAGAATGTGAAATGAGGGCTGCCGCTTGGATGACTTAGTTGCTGTTGCATGACGACTGCATATCGCTGGAGAGAGAGAGAAAGAGAGTTCCCTGGTGTCAATACAATCGATGGTCAATGGTTTCTCCTTAATGGCCATTTTCTGTCTGTCTGTCTGTCTGAAAGAGATATGCATGTGCAATGTGTCAGCGAGACACTGCATGGGGGGCATTTTCTGTCCATGCAGCCAGCCCTTTGTGTCGTGTTTGTGCGTCATGTGATCGATGTGATGTGATGTGGTTGATTTAGTCCATGGAATGCAATGCCTGCAGCGGCGGTTTGGCGGTTGGCATGTGGGATGGATGGCTGGTTTCTTGTCAGTGCGTGGTGCGGTTGCTCTGTCTTGCCTTAGTCGATGCGACGCTGGAGACGCAAATAAGGACCATCGAAAGAATGACATGAACGAACGCATCCGTGCCAGAAATCCACACACACACGGTCTGCAGCCCTCAGCCAACAGCTTGCCAGCCAAAAATCTCTGCGTACCTCTCCACATGCATCGTTCATCTGGCGGCACGATCGGCCCTGTCTGTGCCGTCTCCATGTGCCGTTGATTTTTTTTTTCGCTGATCTGCTTCATTCACAGGCGACTCATGATTCGTCAGCTTCTCCATCCATGGAAGGCTAGATCCTCAGAAAAGAAGACAGAGAGGGAAGAGAGGAAGAGGACGTAAGGTGAGTCTTCACCGCATTGCGTCATTCCGTGTTGAGTGATTCATTGATTCATGGCAAACAATGTCATTCGTGATCGATCAGTCAGTCCACTCGAGCGTCCCAGATTGCTGTTCATCCATCCCATCGCATATATCGCATCCCACCCCAGCCCTCTCATTCATCACAAAAGGAATCAGCCCGCACACACGCACGTCTCTTTCCCCTTCCATCCCCTCCCCTCCATGTGTGCGGGGGTGTAACATAAATCGTGTGCAGTCCGATACGATACGATACGACAGGTACACTCACTCCATGTAAACGACATTAGCTATAGCGGGACACCCTATGTGCTGTGCGTCGGTGTGTGTGGGACGTACGTGTCCCTCACTAAAGCAGTGAGTGAGTGCGATGGATGCACACACTCCCAGCCCCTCCCTCCCCCATCCCCCATGCAATTCGATAACTGACAAATGCACCATCCATAGGGCATGACGCAAGCAATGTGGAGACAGACAAATGGACCAGAGAGAGGCGGCGGGGCTCATGAAGACAACCAGAGGCCCGCAGGCAGGCACCACTCAAAATTCCGGGCACTGTGCGTGCCTCTGGTCGTCACTCAGGCCTTCTGGTTTTCGCTCGCCGTTGCGAAACCCACACACGACACAGTCAGACAGACAGACAGATGCGTGTGTAGTGGGTATGTATCGACAGGATCGCCAGCTAGAGAGCCAGCCAAATACACGAAAAGAGAGGTACTCACAAGAGATGCCATCCATTATCACCCACTCACCCCCCCTCGCCCTACTAAGTGACTTTATGCCATGCTCACTCACTCACTGATTGCAAAAACAATGCTCACACGCACACAAGGTCTGCCTGCCTACCGATGGAGGGCACACCAGCCCAGCCCCTCTGTCTGTCTGCCACCTTTATAAAGAATGCATCGACAGAGAGACCACAGACACACCACCACACAGACTGACTGATGGATTGAGATGACTGACCGGACGGCCACATGTGTGTAGACTCATGACAGACACGCACCACAGGCAGGCACAGGGCCATTCATTCAAGCAGTCGCCACACGGCCCAGCTCAGCGCAGCTCACCGCAGCACAGACATCGCCTCGGTCGGTCGCCAGCCTTTTCAGCCAGCCAGGAACCTCAGTTGTACGGCTTCTTGAGGTTGCCCCCCTTGGCGGGCAGCACGTCCCTGATGATGCACACGCCATTGCGGTTATAAGCACCCTGCAAGACACACACACACACCAGTGGTCACGCGTCAAGGTGTTTGTTCTGCGCCCACTCACGTCAGGGCAGTAGTGCTGGACGGGCTTCCTCTCGACCTTGACGCACTTCTTGTCCTCAGAGTCGATGAAGTACTGCCAGAAGCGCTTCTTGGCGGGCCTGTAGCCGTCGGGGCACACCTTCTCGGCCGGCTGCTTCTTGCGGTTGACGCAGATGTCCCTCTTGTCGTTGTAGCGGTACGGCTCGGGGCACTCGGGCAGCAGCGGCCTCGTGTGGACGGCGTGGCAGACCTCTTTGCCGTTCTGCGGCTCGTAGTGTCCCTTGTCGTGGGGGCACTTGTAGGCCGGGGGAGAGGTGCGCTTGTGGACGCACCGCCAGCCACGGAGGTCGTACTTGGAGGGGCACACAGGGATGGGAGCCTCGTACACGTGCTGAGACGACAGATGCACCCACACAAGGAGGATGAGCAGATAGACGAGTGTGTGTGTGTGTGTGCCTCTCCGCCTCTCTCTCTGTCTCACCTTGAAGCACTTTGCCTTGCCGTCCTCATGCCATTCGTAGCCGTCCTCACACCTCGTCTCGTACGGCTTGGTGGCCTCGTACTTGCACACGTGCCTGTCGTAGTACTCGTGGAGGTCGCCGCCCTTGTCGCACTTATACTCGAATGGCAGGTACTCCTTCTTGACGCACTTGGCGTCTTTGCCGCGGTAGATGAGCTCGTAGCCGTGGTCGCACGAGTACGCGTGATCGATGGGGAACTTCTTGACGCACTGATGCTTGTTGTACTTCTCGGTGCCCTCCGGACAGCGATACTTCATCTGCACACAACGAGAGAGAGAGAGAGAGAGAGAGAGAGGATGTCTGTGTGTGGCTCGATATTTTTGCGTCTGTGTCTGCTCACCGGCTTGTAGACGCAGTTGTGTGTGTCCTTTTGGCCATGTCCGTCCTTGCACTTCTCGCACATGGGCTTGCCGTCGGGCGAGGTGTGGTCCGATGGGGTGAACTTCCCCGGACACGCCAGCTCCTTGTCGAAGTACTCCACGCCGTAGCACTCATCCTCATCGCCTGAATCAACATCACACACACACACACACACAGAGAGAGAGAGAGAGAGATGCGGCAGCGAATACGCGGCGTCTGGCCTTGTGTTTGCATACCCTCCTCTCTCTTGATGCACTCGTGTTTGCTGTTGTGGGCCACGTGTGAGATTTCCCCGAAGTGCAGCTCGCAGCGGGTCTTGCCGAGGGCCAGCTCGATGGCCACACAGCCCTCCTTGTCGAGGCAGAGGTCCATGCACTCCTCCCGGCGATCCTCGTCGGTGGCTGCCGTGAGGCTGACGGTCTCGTACTCGCCCTTCTCGTTGTCGCACGTCTTGCACCGACACAGACCCCTCATGGCGTCCTCTGATAGTGGATGCGCACACACACACGCACACAAGAGTGGGAGGGATCGCCTTGTTCATCCTTCTCTGTTGTGTGTCTCACCGAAGCCATTGGTCTTGATGTGATGGCCATCCGCGTGGGCGGGGCAGTGTCTCTCCGCCTCCTCATAGTGGTACTTGACACACTTGCCACGCTCCTCACTCGACCCGTCGGGGCAGTAGCTGTGTGCCGGCTTCTCCCAGTACTTGAGGCACACGTCGTCCTGGAAGGTGTAGCCGTCGGGGCAGTGCCGCTGGTGGTCGGAGTAGTGGGTGGCCCTGCATTTGCGGTCCTTCCCTTTGCCGACCAGCTTGTAGTCGTGGGGGCACGTGAGCTTGGCGTGCTTCTTGTCGATGGTCACGCACCCGCCATCCTTCAGCTCACCCTAATGGACAAGAAAGAAGCGAGAGTAAGTGTGGGCTGGCTGTCTGTCTGCCCGGCCGCCCGCCGACGCACCTCATGGCAGTAGGGGATGGCTGGAGTGACTTCGTGTTTGCGACACTCGTCTCCATGGCGATCGTAACCCTGACACACACACACACACACAGAGCAGAGGTATGGACCCGCACAAGTCCGGTCTCGAGTGTATGTGGCGGCACCTCCGGGCACTCGTAGACGGGCGGGCAGGTCTCTCGCCAGATGCACTGGTCCTCCTTGAGCCGCCACTCAACGGGGCACTCGTACTGATAATCGGCGAAGTGCCTCTTCACACAGGAGCAGTCCGTCTTGTCGTGGGAACGGCATCGCAGCAAGTAGCCGTCCGGACAGCCCATCTGAAGCACACACATCGGGCGGCACGTCTGCCAGTGTAGAGCGGCTGGATCTGCCTTACTGAGTGTGTGGGCTCACTCACTCACCTTGGGCGGCAGTCTCTGGATCTTGACGCATTTGTTGTTTCTGTCTTCGTAGTCATCGGGACATCTGTAGGAATGCTGGGCGAGGGCAAGGGGGGTGAGGGCCACCAGCAGGCACACGATGGCAGCACTGACAGAACTCATGGCGCCCCTGGAGATAAGAGAGAGAATGTAGAGATCGATGAGAGAAATACGGAAGAAAGAAGGGCACGAGAGGCGGCAGCTGGTTGGCGTCGCTGAGCACTTCTCCCCTCCTCCCCTCTCCCCTCCCTCCCAAGTCCTTCCCTCCCGATCTGCACCAAAAAAGCTCGCAATGCTTTAAAGCTAATATTCTGTGAAACCGCTGTCTCTCTCTGCCATCTCTCGTGAGAAAGGAGACCTGTCTTGTCTAGAGGTCTCCTGCGGCTGTCTGTGCGTGCTCGGCCTGCCTACACTGACAGGTCTCAACTGCACGTGCATCTTCGGTCCTGACGAGGATAGTGCTGTTCTCGTCTGGTGTGCTCGGCCTGTCTGATTGAAGGATCTCACCGGACGTGTAGCTACGTGTCGAATTTCCCTCATTGAATTTCGTCTCGGCCTTTGACAAAACGGACGACATGTCAGCGAATACTGAGCCCCGTGTGCCCGCCCCTGTCGTGACAGTCCCGCCGATTGGAGACCCCAAACGAGACGAACTGTGGAAAGGTGAGCATGACAGACAGATGACGTTCCATCCACGCCTGATGCGGGTGTCTGTCTGTCTGTGTGGGTCAGGCAAGTGGAGCGATGGCATCTGTGACTGCTTCTCCGACGGACCCTCCTGTCTACTGGGGTGCTTGGCGTGTTTATTCTGGCCACTCCTCTCGCCAATCTATGCGTTCCTCAAGGTGAATCAAGGCACAGACACAAGCATGGCCGACGCATTCCACCATCTCCCCCCCTCTCGATGTAGGCACGGCCTCTGGGACAGGTGAAGCTGCTGCACTTCAAGCTGGGCCTGCTAGTGTTCGGCGCCCTCTACTTCGCCAGATTGCTCCTGGTGATTCTGGAACAGATCTCCCCGTACTACGCGGGAACACCATGGGTGGTCTCGGGTTCCCGCGTAGTTCTGCTGATACCGAAGTGGTACCCGGGTTTCGTTGCCATCTCCGTCATCGTGTTCATCATCTTTCTTATCTACCGCACCAAACTGAGGAGGTGCGCGGATGGCTGAACAGGGACCCAATGGCTCATGAGACGCATGTCTGTCTGTCTGTCTGAATGTCTTGTTTGTCCGCTCGACAGGCATTACGACATTCCAGCGACCGACGGCTGCGGGGACTGCTGCCTTGTCTTCTGGTGTATGCCGTGCGCCATTACACAGGAATACAGACATGTGGCGAGGGCCAGAGGCTACCAGGACGCTTCCCCCGCCGACCTTCCCCCGCCGGCCGTTATGCAGTACAACGTCGCGCCATGTGTGATCGGAACACCCCAACCACAGCCGCAGATCGAGACTTTCCAGCAGTCTACTGGCGGAAACAACCAGACCGGCGCCCATGGTGTTTCTTATGTGTAGTGTAGCTGAGTTGAGTGCCGTGTATTTTGTCTTCTTTTTTTGGTGTGAGTGTCTTTGCGAAGCGCGTGTGCGATTATTAAGGGCAAAGGGGTATCGTGTGCATTCGTGATGTGCTTCTGGCCGTCTCGTCAGGTCAGCAGGTGGTTTATCAATGCATGTCGGTATGCATGTGTGACGACAGCCAGCTACAGCCAGCAGTGCATGTCTGGTGTGTGCAAGAGACACGCGCGCGTAGATGTCTTCGCAGGCCCATTGTGCGGCTGATGGTAACCTCTCTGTATGGCGTATTTGAATGCGTGAGCTCTGTGCTACACTGTGCGTCTCCTCCATTGCATGCCCCTGACTCGCATCTTTCATGGTTGCAGTTATGTGGTTTCGCGTGTATACATTCGTGAGACGAAAGCAAACTGGTCATGTAATACATGTGACTCGCTGAGTTTTCATACTGTGCCGCTGAATCGAACGTGCATCCAGTCAATCTTCATGGACAGCATCAGCCCACACATATCAGCTCAGCTCATCGACAGCTGGCCCTTCCCGGCTTCGTGTCTACTCTCCTGTCTGTGTGCCTGTATCTCGGCTATCTGTTGAGCAGCGATGGCTTCCCCAGTACATCGTGAAGCTGCCGGTCATTCCTGCAGCCAGCCAGGCACCAGCACACACACACATGCATCACCTGTGCTATCCTGCAAGTCACTGCCCGGCTCTCACGTACTTGCAGATCTCAGCGAAGGGCGCCCCCTGTGCCATGAGTGTGTGCGCCCGTCTGAACTCCTGCCGTATCCTGGCGTACTGATTCGGCAGCACGTTGGCCACATCCTTGCCGACCTCAAACGGATTGTCCACAAACAAATAGCACATCGAGGGGTCTGTCGGCACCAGCCCGGGTGCTGTTGAGGACGCCGCTGCAGATGCGGAAGCAGCAGTGGCGGCCGGCATCAGGTGGGTGGTGTCGCGGACGGCAATGATGCCGTGTTTGTAGTCGTATCCGAAGTGGCGGAAGAACGAGTAGAGCAGGTAGCCCACCGACTCGCTGTTGGGGGCGTGGCCGCCCTGCAGAAAGGCCAACTCTTCCTCGATCTCCTAACACACACACGGACAGACACAGAGAGAAGTGAGGCACAGGTCAGTGGATGGACGCCACACACAGCTTCACAGCCACACAGGGAGGCAGGCAGGCAGGAAGGTGGGCAGCTGTTGACTGACCTTTCTGTTGGTGCAGTATCTGCAGTCGGCTCCGTTGATGTACACCGGGGCGTAGCTGTGGGCGGTCGCCAAATCCTGGCGGCACACACCAACGAACCAACCGACAAGCAGACCAATGACTGAAGGGATAACTCTCCCTCCCTGCTTGTTGCTTACCTGCAGGCCGGGCAGAATTGGCACTGGCCTCTTCTGGAACAGGTGGATCAGCATCAGGATCAGCGCAAACGAACTCAACGTGCCGCGAGACCTGCACAGCACACCACACCACACACATTCAAACGAGAGGGCGCCATGCCTACGACCGCCCAGGCTCTGTGTGTGTGTGTGTGTGTGTGTAATGTGCCTGTCGTTGATGCCTCTCGACTTGGCCCAGTGCTTGAGCGCCAGCCCCACCGCCCGCAGACGGCGATCCACAGCCATGTAGGCACCTGCAGTCAGTATGACACACACACAGAGAGAGAGAGAGAGATGGAGGCATGGGTGGATCCAATACAAGCAAGGATGAGCATTTCGCTGCGTAGCAGGTCTGCTGCACCGTACCGATGAGCTTGGAGTTGACGATGGCCAGAGTGTTGTTGACAGAGATGTCACACGCCACCTGAAGGCACACAACACACACATGCATCCAGATGTCCGGCTGCCCCCCACTGGCTCGCTGCCTGCATCCGCACCTGTGCTCCGGGCACTCGTGGTGCCCAGTGGATGATGGGCATCTTGGCCTGGAAACGGGGCTCCAAGTAATGAGACCTGCGCGCACATACACGCACAAAGTGACTGAATCAGTCAGTGCTCGTGTGCCTTATTGTGGTGTGGTTTGTGGTTTGTGGGAGGCGATTACGTGATTCTGTGCAGCTCTGCGGCCACTCGCCGCAGCACTTTGATCTGCGCAGGGCGAGTGGTGCAACCAGGCATCTGATCAACCATAGCCGCACACACACACACACACACACACAAAACACCACAGCAGGAGATGGTGACACCACACTCGATGGGTCTGGTGGCACCTGGAGGCATATGTCGATATCTGAGTGTGGCGTCCACAGCCCGTTGACCACCGACCCAAAAGGCGACACCAGACACGAGTCAAACGCACCGCTCACCGTCTCCTGCAAACGCTCAAGGAACTCATCCTTCTCCTGACACACAACAAACACTTATACATAATAGGGAGCATAGCCATCCCCCACACACATCTATCAAACAAACCAGCACCCACCACACGCCTTTGCTTCCCGCGCACCTTGATGTGCTCGGGCAGTGGCGTGAGCGTCGCTTCCAGCTCATCAATCTCGGCACTCAGCTGCTTGAGCCGCTCGTCGTCCGCACTCAACACCGACACGCGACGGGAGGTGAAGAAGGGCAGCGCATCAGACATCGGGGCCCTCAGCATGGCGCCCCTCATGCCCTTGCTGCCAGATGCTGCTGATGCTGCTGATGCTGCTGTTGGTGGTGGCGGGGCCGCTGCCTCTGCAAGGGCGGCCAGCAGCGGGGAGGTGGGAGGCTGGGAGGGAGGGGGCGAGGAGGGGGGAGAGGGGGAGGTGGATGCCGCTGCTGCTGCTGCTGGTGCGCTTCCCGGCCACAGGCCTTCTTGGGCGTCATGCTCCTCCATCTGCGGAAGGGAGAGCAGACAGAGGTGAGTGTGACTCAATGAGAGAGTGCATCATGGCTCATGGCTGGTCTGCTCACTCGCTCCACCTACCCCCTTGAGTATGCGCCTCTTGGCCTTGTGGCTCTCCTGCGCCTCTTTCATCCGCCTTTGCTGCCTTGATGCCCTCCGGAACCCCGCCAACTCGTCGTCACTGTCGTCACTCAGCTCCCCGTCAAAGGAGCTCTTCACCACGTCACGCCACCCATCAGTGAGATCAGCGCCTCCCCTGTGTGTGTCGCTGACGTGCCGCTCAGCCGCCATGACGGCCTCGTAGTGCTGCTTGAGGTCGGGGCTGTCGTCGAGCTGCTCCTCGGCCCTCTGCAGACTCTGCTCCAGCTGACGCGCCTTGGCGTGATGGATCTTGATGCGCTCGTAGACCTCTGCATCAGCGTGGGGCAGCTGATGCAAGCCTTTCCGCCTCACACGCAATGCTGCGGCTGCTGCGGCTGCCGCCGGCTCGTGCGGGTGCGGATCCATGAGGCCCTCTCTGTTCTGCAGGCGGGCCAGAGTGACGCCGAGTGACCTCCTCCCTCCTTGTCTGTTGTCAGATGGCTGCCTGGCTGCATCTGCGTCGAAGATGGATGGATAATCACCACTCCCTTCATCAGCAGCATCTGCATGTTGGTTCTTTGTCCTGAGCCTGGCAACAGCGGCGATGGCCCTTCTGTGTGCCTGGAGTGAGCGCAGACCGAACGGCGGCGGGGCGGGCAAGGGAAGGGAGCACAACAGACGAGCCTTCATCTCCAGATCTTCCTTCTCTCCCCATTTCTAAGCTCGCAGGAGGAGTCAATGAGTGGATCTGCCGCAGGCTTCACTTGACGCAAACAAATGTCTTTACCAATGCGCACACAAGCATAGCGATGCATGCCACCACATGGATCCATCGCCTTATGTATCTTTTTGTCGCAGATACATCACACACCGCACGCACCGAGTGTGCCCAGGCCGGACAGCAGCATGAACCACATCGATAAATGTCACCCCCGTCCATACTACGAAACACGGCGCGTGTGGAAATCAGTCACTCTTTCTTACGCCGAAGACTGGCATGACTCTGTTCTACTCTATCGTCGTCAGCATCAGCCTCGATGCGATGCTGAGATCCTGTGCCCTTCCGTTGGTAGGCAGCGCTTGACGGGCCCCCTGCAGCCGCTTGCTGAGGGCCATGAAACCGCTGGCCCACCGACACGTCCTCACCGATATCTGACACATAGATAGATACAGAAAGAGGTGGTGGAGGTCACTCACCAACCAGGCAAGGCGTGCATCCCTCCCTCCCTCCCTCCCTCCCTCCCTCGCTCTTCTCTTCACTTGCCTGTCGGGAGTAGCTCGTCGTCTATGTGGGGGAGCACCTCATCACCACCACTGACATCTCTGCAGGCAGGCAGGCAGGCAGGCAGTCATCACTTCGTCATCGAGTCTGTCAGTCAGTCCTTCAGTTTTCACGTACGTGTCCTCCCGTTGTTCTTGGCCATGTTGAAGGCTTCTCGTTGTCTCCCGCTGCATCTCCCGCTGCAGTTCCTGATCTGCACCCACCAATCAATCAACACAGACAACACAGATATAGATATAGATATACTCATGTGTGGGCGCGGCGCAGCGCACACATCTAAGGCCCCCC